CAACTATACAAATCAATATCACTTATTTAGAGTTGCGGTGCACAACTATACAAATCAATATCACTTATTTAAAGTTGTGGTGCACAACTATACAAATCAATATCACTTATTTAAAGTTGTGGTGTACAACTATATCAAAAATAATACTATAACAAATCAATATACTTATTCAAAAATACTTAACTGTCTTTTCCAAATTTAAAAACAAAAGTAATAATCGAAAGTTTAATTCTATACAAATCAATATTCGGTTTCTTGATCTCACTCAAGATTTACGAAAAGTAACTTGAATTACAAGATTTAAAGTTCAATCAACAAATTATTTTTGCCAGATAACTTGTTTTGATGGAAGAAGATACAAAGATAAATATTAATTTTATAACAATAAGATAGTCATTAACTTATTGTAGCAAGATTAAAATTTATTAATTTGTTTTAGCATTGAAACATAAGATTGATATATGGAAGAGCACTCCTATTTATACAAAGTTTGTCAATACATTTTAATTTCATCTACGTTATAAAATTATAAAAAAATATATATAAAAAGATAAAAAAGATAAATAGAAAAAGGTAGAAAAGGTAGAAAGTAAGAGTAGTAAAGGTAGAAAGAGTAGATATCGAAGGTAGAAAAGATAAAAAAGGTAAATATCAAAGATAGAAAGAGTAAAAAAGATAAATAAATAAGGTAGAAAAGGTAGAAAATAAAGGTAGAAAGAGTAGAAAAGATAGATAAATAAGGTAGAAAAGGTAAAAAATAAAGATAGAAAGAGTAGAAAAGGTAAATAAATAAGGTAGAAAAGGTAGAAAAGATAAAAAATAAAGGTAGAAAGAGTAGAAAAGATAGATAAATAATTATTATACAATTATCAAATAATTGATATGTATATATTATTTTTATTAATTTGTTATTTTTATTATTATTTTTAAAGATTTTTATATTTTCTATTATTTTTAAAAGATTCGTTAATTGAAAATAATTGTAACAGTATACTTATTATGATGAGATCGAGTAACTGTAAAATTACTATCATTAGATATTGGTTGAATACCTACGTTATGATAATATCTACCAGAAGTCTAATCATAACACTGTGTTATATTTTTGCTCAAACTTTTTAGTATATTCTCAGTAGCATATATGTAATAGATTCTTTGGGTCATTGCTTTGCAATACTTGGTCTATATATCAAAGTTACTACTAAAGTTTCTATAATATAAGAAATGATATGTTAGCTTTGCTACTTTTATTAATAAAATAGAATAAATTTATTAATGATCGATGATAAGTAATTTTATCTCTAAATATAATTGAAATGGTAAAATTAAATTCAGCATCTAACCAAAATCAAGTAATATTACACAAGTCAGGCTCTAGATATCATGTATATTAATTGAGGTCTTAATATGACAATTATCATTATAATTATAATAATTTATCATATTTACTAGATTTCATAAATGATACCTATCTTGATTTAAGTTATCCAAATCACATATTGTTAAGTCTTTAGATTCAGGTCTTCATTCTCAAAATCAGAATTTACGCTCATATTGCGATAATAATGTAATTAATATTTTTTCTAGTATGTTTTGGTCTTTACCAACAAAGAAATCGAATCAGATTTATTATAAAGTAATATCACTTATGTGTAAAGATGGCGCAGCAACTGTTGCAACGTGGTGACAAATAAAGCATCACCTAGTTGCAACTAGTTGCAGCTTATAAAATTTTGAAGTTACAACGTGTTGCAACAGGTGACAAATAAGCGTCACATACTTGCTGCGCCATCTCTACTTATGTGTCTAGGTCATGAAATCTTATATAAAAGGGATATAAAAATCTTTAGTCAATTCTTCTACGCTCTTATTAGTAATATCTATAAAAATAAAACATTTAATAAACTTTCGCATCTTGTATTTTAACTTTGTTAAGGTAATAAAAATAATTTTTAGGCATAATAGTCCTGTTAAGAACAACAAAATAAATCTCATTTATTTTACTTGTTTCATACGAATTAAGGTTGATTTCGAGTTATATATTTGTTAGGTTACTTCACACTCGTGTATCTATACTAATGATTTTTTTTTCCGTTAATAGATATCTTCAATCAATATTTCAGAAATTGCATTATTTTTGGTCTTTGTGTGTCTAATATTATTCACTGAGAAAATCACTATTTATCTGATTTTTGTTACCACGTTGTTACAGCCCAGAATTATTCTTAATTTCTTAAATTCTTAATTTCAGTCATGTAATAAAGTAGAGATAGCAGAGATAGCAGAGATATCAGACATATCAAACTTAGCGCATTTATCTATTATATCATATTTATCCTACATGTATAATATATCTTATATTATAATATTCTTATCATAAAATATTTTATATAAATAAAGGATCTTTTGAATAAACCAAAAGGTATCAATTGATCAATACAAAATCTAGCTAGTCAATAAACTGCTTCTTGTTTATTGTTTAATGAAATTGTACATTAATTGATTTTATAATTATTAATTTTGTTATAACACTTACTTTATACACTACTGGACACTTAACCAGGTTACTATAGAATATCAGTACTGTATTGCTATAGAACCGTCACCACACTAAGTAAATACAAAGGAAATATTTATTAGTAGTAGTGTTACCTATTCTAATTTAATAGAATAGAAGAAGTCACACTGCGTCGTGATCCTAAAAGCAACTGGATCGAATCATTGAAATATCAAAATAGACATTGGTTGAATACCCACGTCACAAGATTACCTACCTGAACCTGGGACTTGTAACAACATGCTTCACCATGTATATTATCAAACAACAATTTATTGTGGAATTCAATGCACGTGTTGAAAGATTAATTGCAGATATTATGTCACGAGATACTATATTTGTTGTTGAGGGACAGAGAATTGTGACAATGATAAATACCGTAATCGAAACTATTAATGAAATCACAACCAATTATGATTCTCTTCGTAATTAATTGGATCATTTAATTGAGACAGGTTCTGTGGTACTATTAATATCTGAACAATTTGCTGGTCCATCTATATCTACATTTACTTCTCCCTAAAGATCTTCTGGTTCTTCTTTTAGATCTTCTGATTTTTCTCTGGGTTCTTCTAGTGACTTAAACCAATTATCTTTTTCTGATATTATTTCAACAACCAGAAATCACTTTAAAATTCTTTTTGATAAGATTATGACAGATAATAATTATTCTTTAGACGATATGTGTAATATGGTGTCTGTTGAGATTCATAGTCTTGGGATGAGAAAGATTAGTAAGAAAACTATAAAAAATTTTTATTATAATAATGGTGATTTTAGAGGTAGTACTTTAAATAAAATAGGTGCTTGGATAGATAGTAAAAATAATTTTAACTTAGCTAATAACACGGAGTAGTGGGAAGAAACTCTTATTTTATGGGTTAGGACTCAAGAAATTCCTTTCTTTAAATGTCTGTTACTCTTAAGTTTTTATTTAGCTCATTCTAGCCTATTTTCATTCTTATAATAAAGTTATATTCTATTATTACTTGATTTTTAAATGTGCCTGATCATAAATTCGAAGTGAAACTTCATTGCTATACAATCAAAATTAAAAGTTATTATGATCTTTCAGTTTGAGATCCGTGTAGTACATATTATCAATACTATCTTACGGCTTATGCATAATTTATATAATTTATTTAAAACACGTATTGTACAACCTCTATAAGGTGCATGTATAATTTGTTTCATAAACATAACTGTCACATATTACAGGTTTCTATAATAAAAAATTTTTTAGCCACATATATATTATTTTTTCTGTTAATATATAATGATGAAAGATTAGAATAACATATTTGTGAATAAAAAAAGAACGAAGTCAAAATTATATCGAAAAGTGGCATATCCCCTTCGATGTCACACCTCTTCAAGAATAAATAGTTTTAATTTTTTGTTTTTCCATACGCTTGGATAACAATCAAGAAATTCGAATAAAAATTCTGCATGCAGGGACTGTAACCCGATTTTGTGATTAGATTTAATTTTATGCTACAATATCGTATTGTACGACTATTTCCTGCAAGTCGTACAACTTTTATAACACAAAAAATAAGTAACCATGTCTGATAATACTTCCCTTCCATCAGTCCAAGAAGTTAATGATTGGAGCCCGGATAAAGTTATTGCTTTTCTGAAGTTTTATAATGAAGAAAAAAAGTTATATCTCAGAGATGAAGACATTAAAAAAATCGAAAACAACTGGGTCCCGGGCCCAGCCTTCCTTAACTTAACTCTAGAAAAGCTTCTAGCCTCCTCTTTGAGCCTCCCTTATGGACCAGCAGAAGTTATAGCAGAATTAGTAAGTAAAATCAAGGGCGAAGGACAGGGTAAGTAGTACCACGACTGCATTCGAATATGCGGAGCATAGAGTCTCTGACTCATATTCCAAACCTATACTGC